TTTCCGCAACATTGGGGTGAGAGTCATGATCGCGGGCCAACGGGTTTTTGGACGTTTTCGTCGATTCTCTAGGGTTTTCAAGCCTGGGGATGCCTTCCAGCAGCTGCACCTTGCCGAGAGCGTTCTGAGGGCGCCCGAGCCGTGCCGAACGGCAGCCGGAGACCCGAGTGATGACCCGATAACAGCAGGGCAACGAGAAAAAACACGACGGGAAATTCTTGGTCGTTTTCGGCCTCTGGGTGCCCTCGCCAGGACCGTCAAAAGACGACGCGGGATGAAAGGCCGGCCCTGGGGAGAGGGTCGGGAACTCTGGGGGGCCCGCATCGAAAAAAACATGGCATCAGAACTCTGGGGCGGCGGCACGGTTGGTCCATCACGCCGCGCAGGTCGCTCAATGTTTGGCGATTTCCCCCGTGGCCTGTTTCGAAAAGTGATCCAAGATGCTCCTCGATGGTCCTCGCCAAGAAAGACGCACACGTCCGGGCGATGCCAAGCCACCGTCCGACACGGGACATCGTTCAAGGTCGGCCTGGACCAGACCGCTGGTGTTCACTGAACCTTGGGCGCCCGCGCAGGCGTTGCCGCCGCGTCGGCGCGCCGCGAGCCTGGGGGCAGCTCATGGAATGGCGCAGATGATCTGAAAAGACGGGCCCGTGAATTTGAGGAGCCAAAAAAGGCATAAACATCAGCTTTCGGAGGTCCACGCGAATTTCTTGGATCGGCGCTCGATCCCCCCCCCTTGCGAGCGGAGCGCGCTAGGGGCGGCGCCGGAGGCGCTGCCAGGGGGCTCCAGCAGAGATCCAAGAGATCTGCGCGGACCTCCGAAACTTTAGGTTCGTACTCGTTTGATCCCCGACTGAATCCTTCGAGCTCGTTCGCAACGCTGTCAAAGTGGCTGGATGGCCGCCCGCCCTCCCGCCTGACCGTCGGTCCGCCCGCCCACGCGCATGCCTGCAAGTCTCTCACTGTGATGGACTGATTACTCTGTCTGTTCCTGTCTCGGCCTCTGCCTCTTTTTCTTTCTCTGTTTCCTTGCCTGGCCCTCTCTCAGTCTCTGTCTCTCTGTCTCTTTCTCTCTTTCTATTTCTCTCTCTCTCTCTCTCTGTCTCTCTCTCTCTCTCTCCCTCTTTTTTGTTTCTCTCTCTCTCTCTCTCTCTCTCTCTCTGTAGATGTGTACACCGATACCTGAAAATATAGGTACATACATCGATACATGTCAGTCGATGTCTTTTTATATCTATATATATGTGCATACACATACATGCATATCTACAGACCTATATACCTACATACATACATACATACATACATACATACATACATACATACATACATACATACATACATACATACATACATACATACATACATACATACATACATACATACATACATACATACATACATACATACATACAAATGGTTGTGAGTATCTGGCTCTGTCTCCGTCGCATTCTCTCCCTTGGACTCTGCGGCAAGACGATGCATGTTGCTTTATCTCGTGCCTTCAGACTGTGACCTCACCTTTGTTGAGCATTTGCCTCCATGGTTCGTGCTGGGGGCGCACGAGTCCAATCGCCTTGAAGTTTGACGCCTCATATGTGCCACGTTCGTTTCACGCGCGTGCATGTTATGATTATCTGTCTTCTGCTTTACGCCTGCACTGGTCCAGTGCTTTGTATCTGTTTCGCAGCCGCAGTCCTTTTCTGCGCGGCTCTCGGGATGATGCACCAGATACGACGGCCCGCGATCTAAATTCTGCTGCAACTCCACAGGCCTTCGCTGCAAACTTGCATGAAAAAACGAGTACGGGCCATCAGGACTCGAGGCCTTTAACTCGACGATTGCACGCCTGCACGGGCACTGGTTGGCCCGAAATTCAGGCAAGCTCGGAGGCTCCGCAACCTCATCGGCCCAGGGCTTGACCCTGGGACAAACAAGCACGCCCTGGCAGCTCTGCCTGCATGGCAGCTCTGCCTTTCCCTGTCTGCATCGAGGGGGCGCACCGGGAGGAGGGAGAAGGCGGAGGAGGACGAGGAGAAGGAGGAGGGGGAGGAGGAGGAGAAAGAGAAGGAGGAGAAGAATGAGAAGAAAGAGGAGGAGGAGGGGAGCGAGGACGGAAAGATGAAGGATGGAGTCCGAGGCCAGAATTGATGCATATCCACCGCGAGGGGGCGATGCCCCAGGACGCGAAGCGGCAGTGGATATATGGTCCAGGGTTTGGGCCCCCCCCCCCCAATGCTGATGCCATTGGCCCCCCCCCCCCCGCGCGATGGTCCCCCCCGCCCCCCCCTGTGGGCGTGGCGTGGTGCTGCGCTGCGGTTCCCCCCCCCCCCTGTGGATGTGGTGTGGTGCTGTGGTGGTTCAGAGGTGGGCGTGGCGTGGTGTTGCACTGCGGTGCCCCCCTCCCCCCCCCTGTGGATGTGGTGTGGTGCTGTGGTGGTTCAGAGGTCGTCGTCGTCGTCGTCGTCGTCGTCGTCCGTCGTCGTCCTCGTCGTCCTCGTCGTCCTCGTCGTCCTCGTCGTCGTCGTCATCGTCGTCGTCGTCATCGTCGTCGTCGTCATCGTCGTCGTCGCCGTCGTCATCGTCGTCATCGTCGTCGTCGCCGCCGCAGCCGTCGTGTCGTCGTCGCCGTCGTCGTCGTCGTCGTCGCCGTCGTCGCCGTCGTCGCCGTCGTCGCAGCCGTCGTCGTCGTCGTCGTCGTCGTCGTCGTCGTCGTCGTCGTCGTCGTCGTCGTCTCTGGGACCATACCATCTGGGGGGGGGGGGCCCGAGGAATCCTGGGACCATACCATCTGGGGGGGGGGGTCCCGTGGGCCCTCGACCCTGGATCATATATGAATATCTCTGCCCCCCTCCCCCTCGCCCGAGAATGTCCATATCCACTGACGGCCTTGAGGCTTCTAAGAAAGATTTCTTGGAAGCCGGGAGGGCCTCTCAAGAAGCCCCGCCGGCCTTCTTAAAAGCCCCGCCCCCTTCTTTAAAGGCCGCCCCCCTCGCGTGACCCCCTTTATTGGGCGCCGCCAGCCACAGCCAGGCCTTGCGTGAGTTGAACCCCGGGTGAGGCAGGGTACCGTAGGAGCGCCTGGGGTTGCCCGAATCCCCAGGCGAGCGAGGGCGCCCTCAAGCTGGAGAGCGGAGGGAGGACGGAGAGCTACGTGTCCAATCCACAGGAGCCCCCGGGAAACGGCCTACACCGCGCGTCACTCGGCGGCGCGCCGAGGGGGGAAATGTAGGTCGGGCACGTCCTGCTACAAGCGGATGTTGGGAGAAAAATGAAAAGAAGCCCCAAAAAATTTAAGAATTGTCCAAAGAGCACGAAAAAACGTCCCCCGACCATTTTTGTTACAATTCTTGGATACTCCTCCTGTAAAGGAGCATGCCCGACTTCAGCCGGGGAGGCAATGAGAGGGGGCAGGCCTTCTCAAAGGGCGGCCAGACTTCCCAGGCCTTCTGGGCGCGCTGCCGAGGCTTGGAAACCTACGCCGCGCAACACCGCTCAGCGCCGCTCGGAGGGTGCGGTGTTGCGCGGTCTTGCGCTGTGAAGAGCGGTGCCGCGCGGCGTTGTGCGGTGCAGCGGGGTGCTGCGCGGTGCTGCGTGACAGTGTTGCACTGGCGAGCTGTGAACTGTAACCTCCAAGATAGAACCCTCCCGCGGATCGGGCCCGTGCCCTGACCTCCGACGCCGCTCTTTCTGCTCACAACGTGGACCCCTGGAAGTTTCAGACCCCCCCCCCCCCATGACTGGCCTTTCATCCCGAGTCGTTTCCTGGCGGCCTCGGCGTGGAGGCCGAAGATTGCCGACGACCCTGCCTCCTGAAATCTGACGTCCTGATGTTTTCGATCCGGGGCCCCCAGAGCCCCGAGCCCCTCCCCCGGGGGGCCGGCTCCTCGTCCTGACGCTCTCTGACAGCCTCGGGGCCCCGGCGAGTCGTGGCTTTGCTTCACCTTGCCCTCCTGCTCTCGGGTCACAACTCAAGTCTCCGGCGGCCGTGGCGGACGATTCGGGCACCGCGGGGAAGGGCTCTCGGCGAGGCGCAGCTGCCGAAGGCGTCCCCAGGCTGGAGAATCGCCGAGAACCGTCGAAAACGTCCGAAAACACGTTCCCCCCCGAGTGTACCGTCCCCCCCAACGTTGCTGAAAATGGCCCCAGACGGGGTTGGAGCAGGTGGGATCGGAGGATCCCGCCGCATCGTCGATACATCTCCGATGCATCGGCGACGTCGGCGCTGAGAAAATCGGGCTCCACATAGGGCCGCATCGCCGATGCGGCGCGATCCTCCGACCCCATCTGCTCTGATAGGTGGCGACACCGAACCCTACCCCCGCCCCCCGTCGAGTTGCCTGAATCGTTGATCGGCGTGGGCAGGGTTCGGATTTCTTCATCTGCTCCGACCCAGCTGGGAGGCCTCCACGGGAGTCGGCGACTCCGAAAGATGTGGTTTGCAAAGGGTGTGGTTTGCAAGCGGCACCCTGGGGGGCATCCTGGAAGGCGGGCGGGGACCTCGATAGAGCTCTCCGCCGCACCCCGAGGAGGCCCGACGAGGACAGTGTCGTACCCCCCAGGCCACAACCGCGCCGATCGCAAAACAACATCCCGGCGTAGCCATACCCTTCGTAGTCGCCGAGGGAGGCCCAGGTCGGGGCTACACGCAAGAGCGACTCAAGGCAAGAGGGCCTCTTGGTGCGCTGCTTTTGGGGAACCGCGCGGGGGACCAACAAACGAGCGCGCAAGACGCTGCTCTATCGCATCGCGGGCCCGCACCAAGGGTCCGCCTGGCGAAAGGCCACTCCTGCGCGCAGCCGCGGGAGGCCCGGGGCAGGGAGGCGCCCCGAGACCCGGCGCGACGCCTCACAGCGTGCCGCGCCTCGCGAGGGCCAGGCCCTTCCCGCCCGCGCCCGCCGTGGGGGCGGGCAGCGTCTCGCTCCGCAGGAGCACGGGCGGGGCCTCCGCCGACCTGCCATCTCGGGCCGGGAAATCTCGGGACGCACAGAGGCACACTGGTGCTGGATGTCCTCCCTGGAGGCGCGCGCGTCCGACCCGAACATGCAGTATAGCCATCTTGTGGCACATCGTTTCCCGAGCGGTGTGGCCAGGAAGCGCCCGCCACGGCGCATACACTATAAGATCTCTTGGTGCGCGCGCCGCCCCTTGGGGGGGGGGGGGGGGGGCGACGCACACCTCGTCTCGGTACGCTGGGGGTGACGCCGAAAGCTCTCTGGCGCTGCGCCGTCGGGGGGACCGGTGAACGAGGCCGCCGCGGGCCTCGCGCCTCGGGCCGCGCGGGGCGGGCGCCGCGCGGCTCCCCTCCGCGCCCCCTTCGGGCCCTCGCGCCGCCGCACTTTGGGAGAGCGGCAGCCGCTCTGGCGCAGGCCGCGACGCGCAAGGCGCGCGTCGGCTTCGCGCCCCCGCGGGTGGCCTGGGCGAGCAGGGGGGGAGGGGGGGGAGAAGAAGAGAGCTGCACCTGTCGGGCGCCGTCGGGGCCCCGGGGGGGCACCCTCTGGAGCCCCCTGCCTGCAGCCCTCGACTTCCTCCTCCCCGTTCAGCGCCACCCCCCCATCCCCCATGACGAAACGCCCGAATGTCGGGACGGAGGGCGGGGGGCTCCCAGAGCCAACCAGGGCAGGGCCTCTGCAGATCGAGGATCGAGGATCGAGGATCGAGGATTGAAGAGGAGGAGAAGGACAGGTAGGAAGAGGAGGAGGAGAAGGAGGATCGAGGAAGGGGAAGATCGAGGAGGAGGAAGAGGAGGAGGAGGAGGAGGAGGATCGAGGAGGAGCAAGCAAATTTGGCCTGACGAAGGGCCCAACCCTGTGCAGCCGCGTGTGACGCAGGGCGTGGCCCTCTGCTCGTGTGCTGCGCGCCGCGCTGTGGAGCCGGCAAATAAAAGAAAAACAAGCTGAGCTCCCGATGGGGCAACGACCCGCGTGCGCCTGTAGGGTGAGCTCCCTATGGGGCCACGATCTGCGCGACTGGTTTGCCAATGCAGTTGCGGGCCCGCATGCGCCTGCGCTCACTGAAACGGTAAGGGGAGCTCCCTGTGGCGCCAAGATCTGCGTGAGGGGTCTCCCGATAAGGCGCGGGCTCGCATGCGCGTGCGCGCACTGGGACTGCAGGGTGAGCTCCTCCATATGGAGCCACGATATGCGTGAGGTGTGCGTGTGTGTGCCGAAATTGGTGCGGGCCCGCATCCCCCTGCGCCCACTGAGACCGTGGGAAGAAAAGTTTTTTATGGGGTCACAATATGCGTGAGGTGTGTGTGTGTGTGGGGGGGTGGGTGTGCCAAAGTGGACGCGGGCCCACGTGCGCCTGCGCCCACTGAGACCGTAGGTGGAGCTCTCTATGGGGCCACGGTCTGCGTGAGGCCTGTCCTTGAATGGGCGCGGGCCCGCATGCGTCTGCGCACATTGAGACGGTAGGGGAAGCTCCCCATGGGGCCACGAATCGCACGAGGGGTGTGCCGACGTGCGCTCGGGCCCGCATGAGTCTGCGCCCACTGAGGCCGTAGAGTCAGCTCCCTAGGAGGCCACGATCTGCGTGAGGAGTAAACCGACATGGGCGCTGGCCCGCATGCGTCTGCGCCTTCTGAGACTGTAGGTGAAGCTCTCTGTGAGGCCACCAGCTGCGTGAGCAGTGTGCCGAACTGGGCGCGGGCCCGCATGCGTCTGCGCACACTAAGCCCGTAGGGGGACCTCCCTATGGGCCAAGATGCGCGTGAAGGGGCGCCCCGACATGGGCGCGGGCACAAATGCGCATGCACTTACCGAGACGGTAGAGGAAGTTCCCTATGGGGACACAATATGCGTGATGGGGTGTCCCGATATGGCGCGGGACCGCATGCGCCTGCGCCCACTGAGACTGCAGGGGGAGTTCCCTCTGGGACCACTATCTGCGTGAGCGTGCGCCGAAAGCGCGGGCACAAAGGCGTTTGTGCCCAGTGAGACCGTGGGAGGAACTCTCTTTGTGCTACGATCTGCGCGACGCGCGTGCCGGAACTGCGCGCGGGCCCACGTGCGCCTGCGCCCAGTGAGACTGTAGGGGGGGCCCGCCATGGGACCACAATCTGCGCGAGGCGCGCGCCGAAAGGGGCGCGGGCCCGCATGCGTCTGTACCCACTGAGACCGTGGGAGGAACTCTCTTTTGAGCTGCGATCTGCGCGAGGCGTGTACCGAAGCGCGCGCGGGCCCACGTGCGTTTGCGCCCACTGAGACCGTACGCGGAGTTCCCTATGGGGCCACGGTCCGCGTGAGGGGTGCGCCAAAGTGGGAGCGCCCACAGATGCGTCTGCGCCTACTGGATCTCCTTGCGGAACCATGATCTGCAGGAAGCCACCACCACCACAGAGCCGAGCATCGGGAGGGACGCGCCGACAAGAAAAGCGCGCGGTCGGCAACTCCTCAGGACATGCAAAGAAAACGCTGCAAATTGGTTGCGCGCACACGGAAATTCGACTGGGGGGGCGCAATGCCAACGCAACGGCGCAAAGAAGCGCAGCGAATAACGACTGCGAATCAGAAATTATAGCGCCCGAAAGTCGAGCAGGGGAGGGGCAAGAAGGGGAGAGAGGGAAGAAGGACGAGGAACATGGGGAATACCAGATATAGAGGCTGGCTGACGCGCTCAAGTATTCCTCGGCAGGTTGCAAACTGCAGATGCCCAGCGCGGTCGCGGTCGTCCACGCACGCGCCTGACAGCCCCGTACTTCGGCGCCTCTCGACATTGCAAACAAGTCGCCTTACCAGAGAGACAGGCACGTGCGACGCGAAACAACTTGGCCAGCTTGATTTCTCGATCCTACAATATTTCGGAAAGCGGTTTCGCCCCTGCCTTGTTGAGAGCGCTTGCGTCGCCCACCCATTATAAGAACGAACGCTGCATGCCCAACTTTCGTCGCAATCAGCGGCAACGAAACGCATCGAGCCCGCATCCGTCTGCCTTTAACAGCCACATAGAGTCCAATGTATAGGAGTTTTCTCAGAAAGGCGCCGTCGTAGATCTTGCGCTATGCGCGAGACCAGAGCTTGCTGGGCTGCTCGAATGTTTTGCCTGCTTCCCCCATTCGGACAAGCTTCCCCCATTCGGACAAGCATTATATCATCCCCACCTGGCGCTGTGATTCTGTGGCCCGTTGACATCTGCATTCGCGTTTCCCCCACGGTTGAGTCCCAAACCGCATTTGCACCCTTATTCAACGATTGCGTTCAACATGTTCTGAAGGTTCAATCGGCGCTGAGACACGAGCGATGCGTCGTCAGCGCGGAGGCCATCTCGGGTCACCACGCATCCCAATTCCCCATCCAGACGCAACGCATCGTTCGCGTCGCGCAGCACAACGGTCTGGACTGCGATGGACAAAAGACGAAGATAGCAAGCACCCTCGTGCGATTTCAGCACTACCCCGTCTCTCCGCAGAGGTGCCGGCGCAGTCCGGGATGACAAATAAGCGGGCCGAAAAGGTCGAGCGCACCATTTCGACGATCCCGGCGGGGAGCCCGAATCTTCCCACAGCTGTGCAAACTGAGTCCGGTTTTATCAATAAAAAGCATAAGCCTCATCTAGCATCAATATCAATAGCCCCCCATCTACATTTGCGCGCGTAACAACACGCACACGTCTCACAAGCACGAGGGCTTCCGCAGTTCTATGTCTGGGGCGGAATCCGCACTGAGAGGCGCACATTTCTCGGGAACACCCCGCAACAGCCCCCGACGAATCATCAACGCCAGAATCTCGCAACCAACTGAAAGTAGTCAAATCGGCATGTAATCATATGCTAAGGCTGCATCTCCTTTTTTGCATAAAAGACCTACTGGTGCCCGTCTCCAAGAATCCGGGTAACACATTCTAGCCCAGCATTGTCGGCACCATTGCAATGGCACACCGCTGGCGCCTGCATCACGCATTAGCGTCTTCAACAAATTACAAGACATCACAAGAGACCCCACCGGGGCTGGGAGGTTTTGCACATCTTAATGCACGCAGAACCTTCAGCGACTTGCCCGCCCATTGTACCACTATCTGCGAGGATGGGAAGAACGTTCCCATGCGGCTGCAGGGCTTCTGGTTGGCATCGTCTCTGCCATTGCCCTGTCTCGAAATAATCAGCTCTGATATGTGCTTTTTCGGTCGCGTCAGACAGCGCCCCATACGGTTTCTTGGCAACTGCGAGCACGACAGGCCTGGGTCGGCGGAGAAACGAAAACCCCCCCATCCACCTCCGCCCAGATCTTCCCCCAACCACGTTTTGCGATCCTGTTTCCAAGACCTGCGGGTCAGCCTGACGAGGCGCTCCTCGCTGGCGCAGCCCCTTGTTTGACGACAGACGCCCCGCTCGGCGATCGCATCGAGCGTCCACTGACGCGTCCACGGACGTCTGGCCGAGTCAGCGGCGCATGGCACAATCGACCCTGCTTCTTGGAACGCTCTTTGCACATCTGCCGCGGCCTCCTCCAGCGCGCAGCCCTGGTAATCCGCGCGGGCTGCGCGCGCGCGAACGCACGCTGACAAGTAGCCTTAGTCGCAGCGTCTGCGACGGAATCATGATCAGCACGTTTCTTTGTGACGAGCTCGCGCATTTTGAACTGCATCGGAACGCCTGCAATCGCCCGACAACGTTGCACGTTGAATGTATCGTCCCAGCAACTCCAGCAACCCAATACTAATGGTTATTCTATCCCGATGACACAATATGTGGTCAATCTGCCCGAAATGCCCATGATATGTTTACTACTGGTGGTGCACCCAAATCGCGGTAGGAGATTATGCGGTACTCGGGGCGATCGAAGAAAGCATCGGCCACCATCAGGTCGCAAGCAACACAAGCCTTAACAAGAAGATATCGGTTCGAGTGCGACCCTTTGTTGCACGCGCTCCTGCTAAGGTGCGGGCCGACAATGTCTCCTTCGCCAGCCTGTACGCGACCTACAACGGCGTTGAAGTTCCCAAGATCACACGATG